AAGGCACTATGAAGCTCTTGCTTGCTATTGCGTTGTGCTTTATAATTGAGATGCCATCACTATATGTTGTGATGGCCAAGCTGAAGGAAGGATGTGATGTTTTGTAGAAGAAATTACAGTGTTTTTAATTATTGAAATTACAAAGCAGAAGGCTTCTCTCAGTGCACTAACCCACTGTGCTGCAATAATTTTCCTTTACTGACACTCCTAGTGAAGGGAAGAACACGCTCCGTTAGGAAGTGCAGCCTAATGTGACACTTGGCTTTCTGTTACTGCAAGGTTTGCAGTATGCCACAATCTCTTTGCTGAGGTACTGCAAGCAAAAAGGTATCTATCTCTTCCAACTTTTTTCTCTAACAAAAACAGGTTACACACTGTAGGAACATCCAGCCCAGCCTCTTCCCGGTTTATCAATGATAAAATACAAGGAACATTCATGTTTAACATATTACTTCTCAACCTAGGCCAAAAATTCTCCTTCATCACAGAACTTCTTCCACCACCCTTCTCTTTGTGTGGGCAAGAAGCCACCTTACCTCACTGAATCAAACAGTGAAAAGGTGAGAGAGGGCTTTCTGTGGGAGACTTTCAACTCTTCCCTAATGCAGGGCCCTCCATTGCACTGCCAAGTCTCAAAGGGGGACACTGCAGTTCAAGAGCAAACATGGCTGCAATATGCTACATTTCTCTGAAGCAGTAGGAAGAGCTTTTTGTGATATTTCAGATTTGTTGTTGGGAAATGTCTCAACCATTAGCTAACCTGTCTGTGAATTTAGAATCAAATCTTCTCAAAAATCATTGATTTGTCTGCATCAGTTCCAATGGGCCTATTTCTTAAGAGATTAAAGACTTAGTGACTTCATCACAACCATTGTAGGTGAAGCTACAATACAGTTTCTCCTCTAAGCCCTTACTTTCAATATCCATCTGAAAACCTGCAAAATGGAGGGCTGAAATCTAAACTGGTTGGCCTCTGCCTAGGATAAAACTATATGTTTGAAAGCATTTTATATTTTGATTGAAAAAATGAAAAAAGTTTTATTTAAAATATTTTTCTTCTAATATTTTAGTTTAAATAGCCTTGCGGCCAAAGTGGGTGATATTTGAAAGTCAATTTATTTTAATTTGAATTATAAGCATCTGAATAGCACAGACTGAGTAGATACAGTATGTTTTTTAGTTAAGTTCATTAAAAACATGCAAATATGGAAAACCACTGTATTAACTGAGTGCTGTGAACTTCTTAAATCCTCAGAATGGCTTTCTAGATCATGAGTTTCAAATACTACAACAGAACTACAATCTGCAGAACAGATACTCAGTTTTATCAGCATGTTCACATTCCCATTACACTGAGAATTTCATCTTCCAAACCAGACACTGCAAGTTGCATTATCAAGACATTGGTCATCATGTAAGCAAATGGAGAAAGGAATATTAATAGTTTCAAAACCTCCTCACATTTAGACTTAGAATTTTCAACTTGCTGGACATGACAGTTCATTGTATAAGTGAGTCCCTGTAAAGCTTTTAAATTTAGCTTTTTAAAGGAAAATTAAAATAAGACAAGATACTGCAAAGACTGTAATGGGAACTTGCAGTGTTGAGCTCATCTTTCAGCTGAATTGCCTAAGGTGGGATATGAAGTCAGTAGATAAGCTGTCAACAGTCCTGAATTCACTTTCCATTAAACTGTGTTTTTTCTAGAGAGTGTTTAGTGAGATGTCTGATGTGCTAAACAGCATGTCTTTAAATAAAGGTTAAGGCTAATTGTAAAGGTACCTCTACTTTGCAGAGAAAAAAAAAAAATCACTTGTATTTACCAAGGAAGTTTTCAGTCTCACAGATAATATGTGTCTAGGAGCACCATAAAGGTGTTCAGTGCTAGGTTTTACACTTCCAGTCTCAAGGCAAAAGTAATATACAATAAACACAGTCACTAGGCTCAAGGCTTGAGTTAGAGGAGGGGAAAAACAAGTTTTGATGTAGTGTTAAACTTCCTAATGGTGTTGTTTAAAAACTAATTTTTCACTGCTCTTTTTTATTTGCCAACAAATAGGTGACTGCTAGGTGCTGTATATCTTACCTCAGTGTGGATGCTTACTGGGCAACAAGAAGTGTCTCAGTTTAACTTTCTCTTCCTCCTAGTGTATCATCTTGTTAACACAACTTTTATGTTTCACAAGTCTTTGTCTGCAAAGAGGGAACTTTCAACTTTTGTGAGACTCAGTGGGAATACTCAGGCCTACCTATATGAAGTGTGATGACATTTGCAGACTTTGTCATGTCGAGTGACATATGAAGATTGGCCCCTGGCATCAGGGGGGAAACAACTGTATATCAGTTGTCTGTAGGCTTCAGATACAATTATCTGAAAATAAAGCAGTTGTCCCAATTTAAGCTCATTTCATTTCTTTCCAAAGAAGTTAAATACCATCTAGTGACAATGTCAAGTCATTCCTCTATATTATTCTGTTTGTTTCATCACAGTGTCTTTTCTCCAGGGAGCTCATTTGTATTCTCTTGCACTAAGGTCATCTGACTTTTAGTTAGTGTCATGGATTTAAATTTCACTTATCTTTAGTAAAAATTAAAATGCTGCTGTCACCACCAGACTGAGCCTGGAAACCACAACTGTGTCTATTTAGCAATCTATTTTAAATTCCGGAAAAAAGCCATATACCTAAATATTTTATGGCTAGTTGCCATTTGGCTTCAGATTGAGATCTCAGTATTCAAGATAATGCTTACTATTGCTATTGCTGCATACCATTGCTTCTGAGTATTTGCTGATACTGTGTTTAGAAATGTATTTTTTCTCTTTTGAGGAAACTGCATTAGAAGGGATTTTTTCTCCACTCTGGGTCAGGCATTTGAATCAGCAAATAGATAGGCTGCTGCATGTATTTTAACTGGCTTTTTTTTTTTTTTTTTTTTTTTTTTTTTTTTTTTTTTTTTTTTTTTTTTTTTTTTTTTTTTTTTTTTTTTTTTTTTTTTTTTTATATTTCTTCCCTTGCAGTATGATGGGGAAATAAAAACATGTAGTTGGCCAGTGTAGTGATTGTCTGAACATATGTGTCCAGCTCTGAATTCCAGCACAGTTTAAAATTTTTGCCACTGATATATGCACTGTCAGTCTGTGTGATATTGTCTGGATATCTACAGCAGAATAATTTTCTAATGAGACTGCGACTAGTGTGGAGCCATGGCCCAGACATCAAGTGTGGGTCAATGTTGTTCCCTAGCCTCCAAACAATGAGGCCAGGGTTGATATTCCTCTAGATCACCCTCTAAAACACCTGCCACAAAAGCTTGTCTGAATGCCCAAAACAGCTTAAGCTCAAGCAGGTCCATGTGGTCAGTTCAGTCATTAACAGACAGACCTGTGTGCAAATGTGGGCTAACAGACCGCTCTGGTTAGGCTGCAAAAATACCACTCTATCTGCAATTTGGGGGATTGTCTTTGGATGACCCGGCTCACAAAAAGCCTGGGTTTGGTCTCTTCTTTGCCCAGAGAGCTCTGGTCTACACTTGAGGTCCTCGTCCCCACTAGAGCCCAGCTGTACTTGTTATCTTGCCTCCTTCTGCCCAGTAGCCCAAAGCGCTCCCATCCGAGTCCAGTCCCTCGTCCCTACAGCGTTTCCGCTCTCGAACTCTCCCCCATCCCTCTCCGTGCTCTGCACCGCTGAGTTTGAAGGCAGCAAAAGCGGGAGCCCCTTCTGCAGCGTTCCCGGAACACCCGTGCCAGACGCGCCGCTGCTCTGGCTGGCCACGCAGGCTGCTCACACGAGTGCTGCAGAACCCACACGGGGTGCGGGCTCCCGGCTCCCGGGGTGCGGGCTCCCGGCTCCCGGGGTGCGGGCTCCCGGCTCCCGGGGTGTGGACTCCTGGCTCACGGGTGCGGGCTCACGGGGTGCGGATTCCCGGCTCACGGGGTGCGGATTCCCGGCTCACGGGGTGCGGGCTCCCGGCTCACGGGGTGCGGATTCCCGGCTCCCGGGATGCGGGCTCCCGGCTCACACGGTGCCCCGCGGTCCGGCGGCCCCGCGCCGGCAGCGGCGTGAGCGGGGCCGGCGCTCCGGGAGGCACCAGCAGCCCCTAGCGGTGACAGCCGCGCCGAGCGCCCTCTCCGCCTCAGCCTCAGCC